GAATTTACCATTAAAAGATAAGTAAGTGTTATTAAAGAGAAATTCGACGATACTGATGAATCTGTCATAAGACATGGAACAACAACCTCTAATACGGTCCCAGTTGATCTCTATTGATGTCAAACATATTCCTTAATGAACGTTGCTGAATAAGGATACAACATCAAGGCTAACGAGGACATAATTATAAGATGGTAATAATTTATAGATGGTAATATGTAACCATTATATTTATTTACCATCTCAAAAGAATCTTTGATGTAATATTGAATTTCATAATTATATGCATTAGTAAGTATGTCTGTAACAAAAGCTGAGATATTTTCAGTGGGAGTTCCAATGGAAGCTATTATGGGACGAACCGATAGTGTTAGTTTATGGATTTTTGGTAAAGCATAAAACCTTGCAATATTCCCATTGTATGTTGTTAGTTTTTTCTTTGTGTTACGGTCAATCTCATTAGAAGAGGCTAAGGATGCGATTAATGTATTACATTTCCTTTGTAGAGAAGAAGTGGGATTGGATGTAAGTGAAATGTAAGATTTAATCTAAATGTAAAATCCGATGATTCCATAATCTAACGTGATACAAACATTCCTTACTGCTTTACATACTCGTTCTTTTTATTCCAGCTTTTTCACCCACGAAACAAAAACAGTTAGTGAAATATATGGCAAAAAACCCAAGTGCCTCTTAAATTTGATGTGAACTTGCGAAATAGATAAAAAAACTTCATCAAAACGATAAATATGATAGTAAAAAACTTGAATGTCAGTCAAGATAAGGCTCTATCTAGCCTGTCAATTTTTTAGATGATGTCCAGTCCCCTCTGCACTCATGAATCAAAACCCCCTCCCTTTATTGCACCCCATATAGCACAATCTCGAAGTTCGGTGTGGATTACGTAATAACTCAAGCGTATGTGGTGCTTTCGCCGACAAAAATTAATACTGATCATATTTTTTCTTGTTTTTATTTCACATATTTTAATTTATTAAAATTGGATTATTTTAATACATTTTCTACTGCTGAATAAGGTGACAATTAACTAAACACTCTTTAAATTAGAAATACATAAACAAATTACGTTCAGTTATGTACAGACAAAAGATATTGTAATATTCATCACAAGATAAAAAATATTTTCAAAACTGAGTTTAAAAATATATTTTACTACAACAAATTTATTACATGTTGCCTTTTCATGTTTTAACATTCTAAAATTACCAATTTATGTACTTTGCAAATTATTGCTTATTTATATTTAAAAATCTTCCTTTATATTTGATTAACATGCTCTCTTGGTGGCAAATTTGATGAGACATTCTCAATAGATGTTCAAACCATTTTAAACCTCTTCTTCTATTCTATCAATAACCAGCCTTTTATTTGATAAAATAGACACACTAATAAATTTAGTATTTGAACTGCTTAAAACAAACAAAGAAGTATTACGATTCTGAACTAGTACAAAGCTTCCTGAAAATGTTGAATATTCACTGGAAAATTTACGACATATTTCAAATTTAAAGTTCACAACATTTTAATACTGTGAATCTATCATTTCAGTCACAACTATCTATATTAAACTAAAATTATATAGATCATCATTAAAAATTATAATCATATGTTAATGTTAAAATCTTCAGTATGCTGTAGTAAAACAATTACAATAAATAACGGTGTGTTTATAACCATAATTGCTGTAATATTTTTATGTCCAATTGTCTGCTGTCAGTACGTGATCTTTTACGCACTTGACGACGAACCTTTCACAGATTTATCATTTTTATTACTACTGCCAACAATAAATTTTGCCCAGATAAATATAAAACATTTATATATCCTTCTTCTTCTTTTTATATAGACATGACTGTCTGTTTTTCAATGTGCCTCTAGTATCTACTGATCGTCTTCCTTTAGAGGAACCGTCTCTCGCCGTCTTTACTACTCTATTTGTTGTCATTCGGCTTATATGATAGTTCTATTCTACTTTTTTAATTCTTACCCAGCTCTTGATGTTGATCACCATTGCGAAGGCTTCTCGATCTTCTGCAATATGGAATAATTGTCCTGCATTTGGTATCTGAGTCCATTCACGAATATTTTTTAATCAAGAAACTTGTTTCCTTTCCTACACCTCTACGGCCCTCTATTTTGCCTTTAAGGATCAGTTGTAAAATTTTATATCGACTTCCCCTTACTATATGTCCCAGATAAGACATTTTTTGATGTTTAACAGTATTTAGCAGTTATCTGTCTTTGTTGACGCTCCTTAGTAATTCTTCATTAGTTTTTCTTGCTGTCCAAGGTATTTTCAGCATTCGTCTATGAACCTACATTTCCAATGCTTCAATCTTGTTTATGATCGATACTTTTAGCGTTCACACTTCTGCACTATACAAAAGTACAGACCAAACATAGCACTTAACCATTCTTTGCCTTAGTTCTAAACTGAGATGGTTATTGCAAAAAAATGACTTTATTTTCATAAAAGTAGTTTTAGTCAGCTTTTAGTTTGCTATTCTACGTTTTATTTCTATGTCTGGATATAGTTGGTCCGTTATCACAGTTCCCAAATATGTCATTTTGTGAACTTTCTCAACTTGGACTCCGTTCAATTGAAGCTTTGCATCGGGATGTGGGTCACGACTAAACACTAAAAATTTGGTTTTGTTTGAGTTTATTTTAATGCCCATTTCCTCTCCTACCTCGTGAATACGATCAAGCAAAATTTGAAGATCTTCAATATTATCTGATAGAATTACTGTATCGTCTGCATATCTAATCACATTAAGTAGTTCCCCGTTGATTTTTATTTCATATGGTTGTCTCTCAAGTGCCTTTTTAAATAACTGGTCCGAGTAAACATTGAACAATGTTGGCGACAAAATGCAACCTTGTCTGACTCCTCGTTGTATGGGGATTTCATCGGTGTAGTTATCTCCAATTTTTACGATAGCAGTTTGATTTCAGTACAATTTTTTAATGACACGAATATCCTTGTCATCTATTCCGATATTTTTCAGTATTTGCATTCATTTTACATGCTGCACTTTATCGAATGCCTTTTCGAACATGCAAATACATCTTTTCTTTGGTCACGGCATTTTTGTAATAGCATGTTAAGTGCAAAAAGTGCCTCCCTGGTTCCCATAGCATTTCTAAAACCAAATTGGGTATCTTCAAGATCTTCTTCGCATTTGCCTCTAATTCTGTTGTGAAGTATTCTGAGGAAAATTTTAAGAGTGTGGCTCATTAGGCTAATTAATCGATATTCTGAGCATTTCCTCGCATTGTGTTTTTTAGATATTGCGATAAAGATGGATTTGAGCCAATCTGCGGGAATCACTCCGGTGATATTGAATTAAAAAGTCTTACTACTACTTTTATGTTATCATTCTCTATTAGTTTCAGCAACTCAGTTTATGTATCATCTGGACCACAAGCTTTTCTAATTTTAGCATTATTTATAGCATGTTCTACTTCGCATTTCATAATTTCTGGGCCGTCAGTACAGTTTTGGTAGAATTCGGCAATATTATTCCTGTCGTCTTCAAACAACTCTGATATATTCAGAGCCATTCTTTTCTTATTTCTTGATCATTTACAATAATTTTGTTATTAGTGTCAACAAGTATAGAGGGAACTCGTTTTTTAAATATATTACTCATTTCTTTCAGTTTTTTGTGCACATTAAATAAGTCGTGTTTAGATATTACATCCTCCATTTCGTCGCACCTTTCTCTCATCCATTTTTCTTTGGCTAATTTGATTTCCATTTATGATTCCCGTTACTCTGCAGGTGTCATTTTCTGTTACATTCACTGACTTTTTCTCAGTTCGACTTTTGTTCAATTATTTCAAGATGTTCGTCTGTCATCCAAGTTATTTTTGGCTTGGTTACAAGTTTTGTCTATAATCATTGTTTAGTGGAGAATGTTCGTCTAACTTGGTTTTTAAATTCACTCTGTAGTTCTTCTGGATCTTTAGTTGTTTCCATGTATTTTAATCTAATGTTATATATCCCTTTATACTTTTAATTTGAGATCTTGAATTTGTTCAGTTCTCATAAATGCTCCTACACATGATGCGTTTGTATCTGTTTTTCTTGTTTGAAACCTTTACCCACAGTTACTTACTAATTCATTCTCTTAGATCGTGCTTTAACAGTCAAAGGATATTTGACTTTAAATGAGCTTTTTATGAATTTTATTACATAACTGACAAACAATTCTTCTATTATGCTACAAAAGACTTGCTTTAATTACGTTTTTTTAGTACAGATTTTTTAATTATATTACAGATTTTGATTATAATTTAAAGTTATGTACATGTTCCTCAATTTTCAATACACTTTATTTATTACTGAGAGGGATTAAATAATAAATCAATATTACGTGGGCGTTCATTAGATCTATAGTCACGGTAACATATATTATAGAACGCTAAATATGGCGAAATTTGATCCAATCTTATTTGATGTTTTTTACAAATAATGGGATGTGCGAAGCGTTTTAGTTGAGAAGCAGTTCGTTTAGTGAAGTGTAGGGTGTTGTTTGCTGAAATTTAATTATTTTGAATAAAATCCACAAGGAAAATGAAATTCCTATACTTGGCTATATACCATAAATCACAATTTTTTATTTAAAAATCCTTTATAAAGAGTATATAATTAAAAAGACCCCTTAGGACTACATTTCAAAGAACATTTTAGGACTAAAAACTCTATCATCAGTGTACTACAGATGTAAGCCACTATATATTTATGTAAAAACCCTTAAAATGGTACAAAATTTATTATTTGTTACATATTTGTTAAAAATGGTGTGATGTAAGGTTTTTACAGATACCTGCATGCAACTAGACTCCAATAGTTGCTGGGTATGGGCTCTAGAGTTGCCATCTATAGAGTTGATTTTGGGACATCTATAGAGTTAGAAAAATATTTTAATTATTTGGAACAAACAACAACTTGTTAATGCCTTTTTGTATTGCAGGTGGCATTACTTCGATTAGTTTGGTCTGAGCTGTTTGTGTTAAATGCCAGCCAGTGTTCCATGCCCCTGCATGTGGCGCCCCTAATTGCTGCTGCAGGTCTTCATGCATCACCCATGTGTGCAGACAGGGTTGTGCAATTTATGGATCACATTAGGATATTTCAGGTATGTAAAACAATTACCGGTTAGGCTTAGCTTTTCCATGTAACTTTTTAGAGCACCATATCCATAAAGAGATTATTTTAGTGTTTTGTGTAGAATATTTTCAGAGTTTCAGTCTGAGGTTTTTTGGTTTTATGTATGTAGTATATAGATGAAGATAAATAGTTTTATTTAAACTATATTAAAATATATTATATAAGAACAGCCACTATTTTAATATAATTAAAGATAAGTGTATAAGAATATGAAGAATGGATATACTAGAGATACAAAACTAGTGTTAGGACAACTGTGGTAGCGATTGATATATTTCATGTAAAAGTAATATTGCTTCAGGGCTCAGTGTTGATAAGGAATTCTAATATGCTATTGTTTGATATCATGGACGTATAAAGATGGTATATAATTTATATGTGAAAGGAAATCAGGACAAAGACGGGTGATTTGTTTCTGGTTAGTTTTTAACTGCATCTTTAACTTCAAGAATTGTTGGTGGTTTCTCTCCCTTCTCTCGTCTGCTTCCCTTGCCAAATCTCTTTCGTCATCTAGGTTTCTTCTTCCTCCACATTAAGTGCCTGGTTAAAAAATTCCACCTATCTATTGAATACATCTTTCTTTATTGGTAATAGGTCGCCATTCTGACTTCTGAATTGTCTCGTAGTTGCATTGAATTCTTTTCTGCTGATATTAACTTTCTTATAGAATGCTCTGAATTGTTTCTCTCTGTTAAAGTTTTCTATATATTTAAGTGTTTTTTTATTTTGTGTATCCTCTTTTGTTCTCTTCTCTGTGTCTGGTATTTTTCAACAGTTGTTCTAGTTTGTCGGGTAAGCAGCAGGAGTCTATATCTGTCTAGCCTTCTTCATTTACATTTTGATTCCTTAGCCTATTGGGGATGTTTTCCGAGTACCGTTCTGCAATTGCCGCATCTCTCAGCTTTTGCACATTCCAATTTTTGTATCCATTTTATTTTCTTTACTGGTGTTGTGCTTAGAAATTCAAGCCCTCAATGCTGCGATCACTTGGAAATGATCTGAGTCTATGGTTACGCCTCTATAACTTCTGCAGTTTATTACGTCTGTTCCATTCGTTGGTCTCGTTGTTCTTCCATCAGGAGATGTCCAGGTTACCTTGTGTACGTTCTTTTGTTCCAAATAGGTGCTCGCGACTGTCATATTTATGCTGCTGCTAAGTTTTTCAGTCGCAATCCATTATCGCTACTGATGTTGTGTAGGCTATGCTTCCTGTCGTGGGCATGAAAATTCGTTCTCGTCTTATTCTTGCATTCACATCATCTAATACAATCTTATTGTCATTTCTGGGACATCACCTATAGGCTTGCTCTAGGTGTTCTTTTATTTTCTCTGGTTTGTCATCAGTTGGGGCATGTGCATTGATCAAACTGTAATTAAAGAATTTCCCTTTCAAGCGCAAATAGCATATTCTTTGACTGTAGGCTTTGAAGTCAATAATTAGTACATTATGAAAAGGCTTTCGACAGCATTGAACACTGGGCGGTTGAAGAAGCTCTGGTCAATAGTAGAATAGATTCAAGATACCGACAATTGATACATGATATTTACCAAAACGCAACCATGACCGTAATTCTGGACGACAAATTAATAACGGATAATATAAAAGTTAAACGACGAGTTCGACAAGGCGATATAATTTCACCTAAACTGTTTACCTTGACCCTCGAAGACATAATTAAATCAACAGATTGGGAAAACAGAGGAATATGTATTAACGGAAAATACCTAAATCACCTTAGATATGCGGATGATATACTCCTGATCTTCTCGGAACGACTAGAACTGGGATTAATGTTGAATGAACTTCATGAAAAATCACTGCAAAAAGGCCTAAAAATTAACTTCAACAAAACAAAAGTAATGACAAACACGGAAGACCAAGAGGCAATAAAAATAAAAACAGAAAAAATAGAACAGGTAAATGAGTATATCTATCTAGGACAAGCAATCAGAGCTAACAGAGAAAATCAAACAGCCGAAATATCGAGACGAGTAAGAATGGGATGGGCAGCGTTCGGCAAACTTTCTTACGTTTTAAAAAATCAAACAATCCCTCTATACTTACAAAGCAAGGTATATAACTCTGCATAATACCGGTGCTCACCTACGGAGCACAGACATGGATATTTACACAGGCCAATTTGGATAGGATAAGGAAGGTACAAAGAGCGATGGAGAGACAAATGTTGGATGTATCACTTAGAGATAGAAAACGTAACCAGTGGATCAGAACCAGAACAAAGACAGTAGACGCGATAGAATAAGCAGCAAAACTGAAATGGAAATGGGCTGGACACAATGAACGTCTCCAAGACAGACGATGGAACAATGCCATCGGAAAGTGGCGTCCATACAATGCAAAGAGATCAAGAGGCAGACCACAGATGAGGTGGAAAGATGACATCAGGAAACAAGGAGGTCCCACATGGCAGAGAACAGCTCAAGATAGGGAAAGATGGAGAGAACTGGGGGAGACCTATATCTAACAATGGAAGGATAGAGAATGGGTTAAAAAAAAATTAGGCCTTTACAATAAATCCCACCCCATCTATGTGTTAGCTTTCATTGCAGCTATAATATATATGTAATGGGTTCTCCTGTTAATAGTGCCAGTTCCCGTCAACCGCATTTCCTGCAGTGCTAAAACATCTACTTTGTATGTGTTCACTATGTCTAGTAAAGATGTGATTGCTCCAGTTCGGTACAGGGTTCGGCTATTCCATCTTCCTAATGTCAATTCCATTTTTCGTTTGCAGAGTCGTCGTTGTGAGTTCCGTCCAGCTAATAGTTCCTGAGGTTCCGTAACATATGTTTTTATACAGGAAGAGCTCAGCCTCTAGCCCAACCCCCAACCTGGAGGGCCAGGAACTCTTCTGTTAGGATTACCATACCTTAGTCTGTTTTGGTTCGCGGGTGGTATTTTTATTTCCCAACTATCCATCGATCCTATGACCGGTTAAGGCGTTTCTCTATCCACCACCTGGGATGATTCCACGGAGTTATATCTTCCAGTTCATTTTTTACATCCTCAATTTCATCTTTAAATTTTTTTAGATGCAAAAAAGTTTACTACTTTTACCCCGGGCTTCCTCCTAAAACCCCCCTCACAGAGGGGTAAAAACATGAAAAAATCGATTTACCAAGAAATTGTATACTGTAGAAAAAAATGCTTTAAATAAAAAATGTAGCCGAGATAATTTTAAACATAAGCATTTTTTGTACAGAATGAACCGCTCTGTTAGAAACAACGCTTTTTACGATTCTCTTGAGATCAATAAAATTAATCACTTTCATTGGCCTGTTGTACTAAACTTTTTATTTTTAGAGATCATTTTTTAAAACCTATGGCATGAAATTCCAATATTGAGTTGTGGTAACAAATATGAGGCATTTGAAATATGAATAAAAAACGCAGAATTTAATGTTTTACATTACAAATGATCATACGTCACGGAAAATGTATTTAAGAAGACTGTAAATATACGGAGACGATAACGTCTCGATTTAATTTGAGTCTCTTACCACTCCCTAACACGTGTTTCTGGGTCTACCCGTTATCAGAGTGAGTTTGTAATAAGACTCAAAACAAATCAAAACGCACCGACTACTCTGGCAATTATAGGAAAAATAATTACCAGAGTATGCTACTAGAGACCTCTAGTGAGGAAAGATGAAGTTAAATGTATCCATAACAATTAAAGTAAACTGTATACCCAAGCTTAATCAAGCCACTCAGTTCAATCCAATCAAGTCAGAGTAGTCGGTGCGTTTTGATTTGGTTTGAGTCTTCTTACACTCTCTCTGATGACGGGTAGACCAACGTGTTAGGGAGTGGTAGGAGACTCAAATTAAATTGAAACGCAACCGTCTTCGTATATTTATCGTCCTTACTAGACGCAATGAGTACAAGAATGATGGTAATTGTTATAGGTAAATTGTTGATGCATAGTGGAATATAAATATTCCCAGCATCGCTCTAAATGGCTTGATTTAGCTTGGGTATACAGTTTACTTTAATTGCTGTCGACACATTTAACTTCATAAGAAGACTGTTTTGAATAAAGGATAATTGTTTTGAATAAAGGATTGAGGAAAGAATAAAGGAAGATGAAGTGTAGAAGGTTCTTTGAAAAGATATAGCAATGTTTATGTCGGAATAAACAAAAATTAATCTCGAATGAATAAGATTTATCAGCCTGCAAATATGCTAGTGTTAAGTCTGTGCCACACTATACTATCATTACAAGCTTTAGAGATTTTAATCTTGATTTTGTAAATGGGTGCTTGAATATTTAGTTGAAGTAACCTTATTTATGTACTATTATTTTTGTAACTTCGGTAAAAATTTAAATGAATTACCATTCAATGAACCTTTTGACGTAGCTATTTATAGAATAATAATGCACACTTCCTTTCAACGTTTCGATATTAAACATAAGATAGTGTTGTTTTTATTGTACCATTAACAACCACAAACAGTATTTTTCACGAATATTTAATAAGACTCGGTATGTGTAATACAGGAATAAAATTAAAACATTAATCCAAAAGAGATGTATAAATTCCTCAGTTCGCTCTATATGAATTATATTTTACAGCATAGTTTTTCACAGTCTTTCTTTTAACGGTACACTTTGCTACCGACGTCACTCAACACGTTCTAAATTATTACGACTGGAATCCAAATCGTGTTAAACCGTCTCTTGAAATGTTTATATGAAGGGTGCAATAAGAACCCTCAACATTTTTAATAGCGTTGTTCTTAGTTAGTACCTATAACATCCATTTTTATAGGCACGGATCATACGAATAGAAAAGATTACTTATAACCTAGTCAGCCCTATGAAATTTAGCACTTTAAAGTAGACAGCAATTTATGAAGTAGTTCTTTTGACCATTTTATCTTGGACATTTTGCGTCATTTATTGTTCTTCTTCTTCTTCTTCCTTCTTGTATGTAGGCTTTAAA